GAGAACTTTTGACCTTTTTTTTTTTTTTTGCAATTGGCTTATTTTATTTAGCATGATAGTTTCCAGTTCCATTTTTTACTAGCAAATGCCATAATTTTATTCTTTTTATGGCTGAGTAATATTCCATTGTGTATATATCTTTTCTTTTTTTAGTTGTAGATGGACACAATACTGTTATTTTATTTGTTTATTTTTATGTGGTACTGGGTATTAAACCCAGTGCCTCATGCATGCTAGGCAAGTGCTCTACTACTGAGCTACAATCCCAGCCCCCCCCCCATTTTCTTTATTCATCTGTTGAATATGAGCACCTATGAGCTGAGTTTTAGGGGACAAGTGAGGGTCTGGAGAGGAGAGGTGGGAAGATTGTGTCACATTGAGGGAATGGCATTAACAAAACCATGGGCATGTGAATTAGGTATGGGGTGTTGGGAACTATAAAGAGCTTCATACGAGTTGCCCAAATCCTAAGTATTTGGAATACATACCTGGAATTTATTGTAAGGTTACTACATGCCAGGCACGCATGCTGAGTGTTTTGTATCTTAATTTAGTTAATCCTCACAAAAGCCTTATCTAGTAGATATTATGATCTGAGATCCAGAGAGCTTAAGTAATTTCTTCAAGGTTGCACAGCTAATAAATGGAGCTGAGATTTGAAATTGCTTCAAGGTCTTGTGAGCCAGTACCCTGTATTGCCTTTCTGAACATCATGAGAATAATGACATCATCAGATCTGCTTTTACGATAGACAACAATGGCTAAAATGCAGAGGGTGGATTTGAAGGAGAAAGAGGCTTCTGAGCTTGTCAGGGTTGCATAAATCAGATAGCAAGGCCTCCAATGAAGCCACCTCTTGGGAAGACTTTCATCTCAGCACACTCCATGCATCTTTCAGTGTCGTCACCAGCTGGTCTCACCTTGAAAAGGTCGTTCTGGGTCTGGGGAGATGTTGTCTCCATGGCACCATCTTGTAGGGTGCTTCAATACAGAATAAAGAGTCCCAATGGGGGCAGCAGGCCACCCATTCCACTAGGGTGAATCTAGCTACACACAGGCTTTGGGTTCAATTTGATTTGAAAGCAGAAAAGAAATGTCTTTGCCTACTTTCCGGCAAACACCCCAAGGAAACAATGATACAGAGGCACACCTTGAGGATGGCCTGGTCCAGTCTGGAGGAGTGGCTTCCTCTCGTGAGTTCCATGTGCCTAGTCAGTTTCTGTGGCCGTGCGTGGTCTGGCTCACACAGCACTCCTCAGTTTCTTCATGGCTTGATTAAAAAAGGCATACCTACTACCCTTCTCTCCTGGTGACATGCAGAAGGTTCCATTCTAAGTTCCACCTGGAACTGTGGCCCCTGATGAAAGGGGCCAGTCTGTTAGGCAGGCCAGCCAGGTTCGGAGTGTGGTCCCTCTGTCTTTGGCTCTTGAGGTGGTGTATCTGCGATCTTTGTTTTTAATCATAATATTTCACGTTTTTTCTTTCCATGCTGAGCCAGCTGGGGGTGGTAGCAAATCTTTCTTTAATTTCCACTGTGATGGATTATTAGTTCACTTAAAATGCTGTTTAATTTGTACATGTGCCCTGAGGCTTTAAAATACCGAGTTAATTTGATTATTGTTGGAGATCAGTTTGGACTCCACAAAATGCTGAACGGGTTGGATTCATGAAGCCCCTGGACCCTGTCGCCCCCTCAGTAGGGATCAAAGTCCAAAACTTAAAAATGCTCTATAGACCTGTACCCGTAATTCACCCCTTTGAAAAAAAAAATCGCCAGTTAAATTTTCCTTTCTAAGAATTGACTCAAGCAAGTTTCTCAGTTTTCCCTGAGAAATAGGAAGAAGGCAGCACCAGGTGGATACATTCTTCAGTCCCTGGCTGAAAGATAACTTCTGTGATTTCAGCCTGCTCCTTCCTTTCTTCTTAGCCACACTGGCCTTTTCTTGTTTTGGAGTCACCTTCCTCTCCCCCTGCTCTTTGTCATTCCTTCTGGCTTGTCCTGGGTCTCAACAAGAGGCATTTTCCAGTAATTTCTCTCTTCCTTTGCTTCTTCCCAGGGAAGGGGTCACATCTTCAGGATGCCTGTGGATTCATATTAAAGAGCTGAGTGAGGGCAGGTAGCTCAGTGGTACAACACTGCCTAGCTTGGGGGAGGCCCTGGGTTCAATTACAGGGAAGGGGGGAAAAGGTGGGGGGAGCAGAGCACAGTGAAGACTAATGCTTGTCTAGACTTTCCAGGATTTTCTAGCACCAGACAGTCTGGGCCGTTGCTCACATGGTGGATTTATTCTCCTGCAAAAAAGTTCAGAGCCATGGTGAACAGTGAGTGTGCATGTGTGTGTGTGTTTTGGGACTCACTTACATTTTTTAAAATGGGTATGGGGGGTTTAACTCAGTGGCAGTTTACCACCGAACCATATCCCCAGCCCTTTATTTTGAGTCTGGGTTTCACCAAATTACTTAGGGCCTTGCTAAGTTGCTAAGGCTGGCATTGAACTTGCAATCTTCCTGTACCCATCTCCTGAGTCACTGGGATTACAGGCGTGTGCCTGGCTGACACACTCACATTGAATAGAGTGTAAATGCTTATTCTGCAGAAAGTAGCCTTGAATAAGTTTTGGGATTCAGATTTGACGTTGAGCATAACCAGAAACTTCTGCCTATGAACTTTTTTTTTTTGGGTTTCCTACAGAAGAGAAGTGAGAAAAGGAATAATTCTACTCAAGGGAAATGCATAATTTAGAAGCTGTCTGCATGCATAAGAAAACAGACTCTGTAGCTGCTCTGTAAACGCAGAAAGGCAGCCAGGGTCATTGTTTCCCTTTCTTCCCTTGGTGTTTACGTAAGACTGATGAGCCCAGTGCTCCCTACTGGGCGGCCAAGGCCATGGACTTCAGAAGCCTTGGTCCTGGGGGAAGCCTACTTCTCACATTCCTCTGCCTGTCTTCCTTACCCTACCTAGCCCGCTTCGGCTTCCCCCTCCCTCTCTGGATATTCTGTCCTTCTTGACAGTAGAACAGACACTGGAAAGGTTGAAGTCATTTCAGGAATCACCAAGATGGTGTCTGGCTCTTTCTACCACCTGTAACTCTGTTGTCATCCTGTAGCACTGGTCTACTGTAGCCTGTTTTGTCCATTCACCTCGCCCGCTACCCAGAGGATGCTCAGGGGCTCTGGATCCAGAGGTTCATGTATCTTCCAGCCCTGTGTCCTGGGATGGCCAGGCCTAACTCTGAGGCAAAGCTGAGGGAATCATTTCCCACTTCTGTATCCTTCAAGTATTTCTTTCTTTTTTTCTTCTTGGTACTGGGGATTGAACTTGGCAGCACCCAACCACTGAGCCACATCCCCAGCCCTATTTTATATTTTATTTAGAGACAGGGTCTCACTGAGTTGCTTAGTGCCTCGCCTTTGCTGAGGCTGGCTTTGAACTTGTGATCCTCCTGTCTCAGCCTCTGGAGCCGCTGGGATTACAGATTACAGGTGCCACCGCACCTGGCCATATCCTTCCAAGTGTGACATCCATGTGACCTGATCTTGGGTCTGTAAGAGAGAATGAGCAGAGAGACATAATTCCCTGGCCTCTGCAGGCCTGAATCCCTCCAACCATCAGGCATCTTGCATGTAATTGGATGTGGAGCCAGTGTGACTCAGGGCTGCAGAAGGAATGTGTTCTTACTGTGGCACGAGGGGTAGTGACCACTGTTGTCCTGCAGCCTAGTGTGGTCTTGGCCATGCAGGAAGGCTCCAGGAGTACAGTGGCATCAGGGACTGCTGTGGTGGGAAGGATGCCAAGGCGGAGGGTGGCTTCCTTTTGAAAGATTTGGTTCCAGTGAGGTTTAGAGAAAAAAGAAGACTAGGAATTTGTAGGATTTCTCCAAAGTGTCCAGATGGATCCCAGACATAAGCCGGCAAGGAAGATCTGATTTTGTTTGTGTGTGGTGTCTCGCCCCTCTCCCCATGCACCTCTAAATAATTTTATCTTCAAAGCCTAACGCAGGTGTTAATTAACGCTCAGGGTTCTCCTGGGAGGTAGACAAGTGGGAACACCATCCCCATTAGTGAAGTCCAGGGAATAGACAGGTGTCAAAGCCTGAGGTAGGTAAGCCACAGAGGAGCAGAGTGAGCCTCGGGCCTTGGAGCTGTTTCCTTAGACCTTCACTGGGACTAACCTGCTCATTTGTTATCCTGGGAACCACCCACTTCCTCGGTGTCCTCGGTTCCCAGTAGAATAAGAGGTGAGGCTGTGGGAGGAGAGATGTTTGATATTGTGGGATGAATAATGGGAAATCCAGGGATTGAAGGAAAAAAATTTTAAAATTTACTGTCTTTATGATTTTTAGGTGAAGGAGCCTTTTTATGACATTGATTCACTCACTTGTTTTTTTGTTTTTAAAAATAAAAATGCATCTACTTCTGAGCAAGGTATTGCAAAGGGAATCACTACTCCCAAGTTGCTGGCTAGTTCTGCTGAATGGGAAGCTGATCCTTTGTATCCTGTGCTCAATCCCTAAGTGGAGACTGGTGTGGGGGTTGCTGCCTCTGCAAGTGGTGGCTTCATATGTTGGAGTTCTCCTGGCATCTGGCAGTGGATGGGAAATCCACACATGAATATTGGATGGAGTGAATCACTAGAGGCTGAATTCTTCCTTGATCTTTCACCTTGGTCTGCTCAGGAAATGGGACCCTAAGATATCCTTTCTCTGGGGTTGTAGGTAGCTCATCTTCAATCCTGGACTTTGCCTGAGGATATTAATGCCAATTGGCTGGGTAACTGCTGAAAGTACCAAGTTGATACTGAATCTTCAACTGTAGCAGAGCAGCAGGATTGGAGTGATTTCTTTCTCATGCGTTGGGCAGCTTGGGCCCAGTTCAAGAAATAGTGAGGGGGATTATTTTATCCTGTAAGCATTAGCCTTTTTCTGAGTGGCATTCAGACTCTACATGACTTATAGGAAGCCTTACTGTATCAGCTAATGCTATTTTACTTGGTGCCGCAGGCTGCTGAGAACCAGCCCTCGACCTCTACTTGAGGGTCCTTCCTCTGAAGACGTCACCAGTGTGTGGAGCCTGCCCCACACCCACCCCCTGCCAAACCACGGCCTTTACCTGTGTCTTCCGGTGTTTCCCGTGCGACCCATCCTGTGGGAGTGCCTCGTGGGCTGCCCCAGAGCTCACCCCACGCTCAGCGGCGCCAATGGTGAAGATGACAAGATCCAAGACTTTCCAGGCATATCTGCCCTCCTGCCATCGGACCTATAGCTGCATTCACTGCAGGGCTCACTTGGCCAATCATGATGAACTCATTTCCAAGGTACATGTTTCCCGTAAGCCTTTCTTGCCTACCCCCGGGTGAGGGCACTTTTCCTAAGGTTACAGATGTTTATAAACTCTGCAAAGGGGCTGGGATATTTCTACTCTATTTTTTTGTGCAGAGAGGGCTGACTCACATGACTGCCTCACTTCCTTGAGAAATCACTCCAAGTTGCAGGGACAGAGAAATGGTTTAATTTGTTATTTTGGAAATTAGATGTCACCCTTGTTGGAGGCTTTGGGGGCTGGCAGCTTGCAGGCCAGAGAAAGGATTAGAGCCTTCTGCTCAGCTTGTTTGGTTTAGTTGGCAGAATGTGGCGAAGAGTGCTTTCTGCTTGGAAAGTGGATTCTAAGAGAGGTGGGGAGAAGAGGGTCTTATGGTTTTGAAGGGTTTTTGTTGTTCACGTTTGTTTTGCAGTGCTGGGTACTGCACCCAGGGCCTCATGCATGCAAGACTAGGGCTCTGCCATCTAGCTACCTATACTGCCAGCCCCATTATAGTGGGGTTTGTTGACAAAGATGAGAGAGTTCCTGACAAGCCCCAGGGGAAGTTGTGAGACAGTGGCATTACTGAAATGAGTGGCCTTTGGGGAGAAACAAAAGTGTCCTGTTGAAGAGATGATCCACTGGCTCAGGGGGACCTTTTGGGCTTATGCATGAGGTAATATAGAATGACATTTGATCATAATCAGAAGAAAGACCAGACCTTGTTTTCCCTGAGGAGCATTGGCAACAGCTTCTGAAGTTAGGACTGGGGTTAATAAGAAACAAATCCAACACCCCGTTGTGCGATTCAGGCACTGGACCCTTCCTTCAGGCAGCATTCTCACGGGAGCTGCCACTCTCTTGGACCTGTGTTCCCAGGGGAGGAGAAACAGGTTTTACTAGGGCTGCTTGACAAAGAGAAAAAGATCGTGGGAGAATTCTTCCCTCAACTGCATCTCAGAACTTGGACTTCATGCCATTAAAATGAAAACAAACCAACCTTTATGCAGATCCAGACTAGGTTGAAAAAGAAAATTAGTGCTGGGGATAGTAGCTCTTGCCTGTAATCTCAATGTCTCAAAAGGCTGAGGAAGGAGGATCCCAAGTTCAAGGCCAGTCTCTGGAACTTAGTTAGACTCTGTCTGAAAATAAAAAAAA